TCAGAATCTGACAGTGATGTTAAGGGGGTAAAAAGTTACAAAGTTTTAAACTGAGGGAACGCTTGGAATTTATTTGTTTTTTAAATTTTTATTAGTGAAACACCATGAGGTACAGTTGTAGACTTACAAATTTTTGTGCTTGGATTTCAAGAGGCTCCATCTTCAAGAGAGAATGCCTGGATGCAAACCAGACCTCAACCAGAGTGAAGTGTGCCTTCAAATACTCCCATTCCTAACTGGATTGAGATGATCTGGACATACTACTTTCTTTGCATATGTCTATCGAAAACAAAAGTCATCCCCTTTGGGGAGGAAAATAATGTCACCCCTGGGCTTAATAATACTCATTTAGAAATAATAATATTCAAAAATAGAAGAAAAAAGCCACATGACCAAAGCCACAGAAAATGCTCTAATTAGAAACATATATAATAATTTTTGTTGTATTTATTTAATAATTATAAAGCATCCTATATCAAATTAAAATGTTTGCAATAAGATATGTTAAATTTGACATTGAAATTGTCAAATATCTGGGGTTTTTGGTGGTGGAGAATGGGCACTGGTGAAGGTATAGGTGTTTCATTGTATGACCGAGACTTGGACCCGAAAGTTTTGTAACTGCTCTCACGATGATTCAATAAATAAAATTATAAAAAATGAAAAAAAAAGTAAGGTGGAGTTCATGCACAATTCAATCAGCTAATCAGTGGCTGAATAAATGGCAGTACTCCTACATAAAAAAAAAAAAAGAAATTGTCATATAGGTTTTTTTTTAAGTTAATACTGGTATGGAATATTTTTCTTTTCTTTTACATTTAACCATACCTTATATTTTATAGTATGTGAAGCATTCTGACATTGTTTTTCACTCAGATTACTGCAAAACAATCATTTTTGCAACATTATGCTGACATTAATAGATAAATTAATTTGATCAATATTTATAAGCTACTATAAAAATGACAATATGGACAAACATAAATAGCAAAAATGAAACAAGCATATGAATGTGTCATTCAAACTCATAAACATTTATATCATCATAAGGATGACAATGAATTTTTGTTCAGGGACCAAAACTCAGTTTTTATATATTGGCATCCTTAAAGGCAAAATATAAGCAATCTAGGTCTTTTTAAAAATGTTTTTATATTAAGAGACATGGTTGGATGACTTTTCAGATTGTTCAAGAGAGGAAAAAGTGTTACCATAGTTTTATTTAAGGTGATAATCCAGTTACAATTACTTAAGAAGCACAACTAAATCCTCCTCAGTGAAAATGCTAAGATGTAACTAGGAAAAAACATTTGTATATTTCCAGGTACTGGTATTCTAGACCCCAAAAACGCAGTGTTATAAAATGATTGGTATAAAAATTAAGTTAATTAATAGTCATCCAAATGGCAAATATATGTCAAGATGAATCTCTTGACACACAAACACATGTGGAACAATTTAACTTGGTACTTTAGAAGTAAAGATCCCAGATAATAGTAAATTGACATTAAATTTCCTGAGTTTACTGTTTTTATTAGATTATACATATTGAAGGATTCAGCAATTAAAAGAAATATAATATCTGGGACTGGAAAGTTGTAAGGTGCTTGCCTTAGGTGTGGCCAACCTGAGCTCAATCCCCTAGCACTACAGAAGGTCCCTCAACAGTACCAGGGGGGATTTCTAAGCACAGAACCAAGAGTAAGCCCTGTGCACCATTGGATGTGCCCAGAAAGCAAAAATAAATACATAGAATTATTGATTTCTCAGTTTCATATTTTTAATTGTAATATCTCTACCTTTCTCTCAAATGGTTCAGAAAAATATCATTCATAAATGTAAAGGAGAGGAAAATAGAATGATGAAAAGAAGAGAAATTAGAAAATGTGGATGATGGATATATTAGAACTCTTTGTACTGTTCTTACATTTTTTATTTTTTAATTTATTTTTAAAATTTTTATATTTTTATTTTTATTTATTTATTGTTTTTTGTTCTTACATGTTTTCTACTAGTTTGAAACTGTTTCACAATGTGAAAAAAAATTATTTAAAATTTTTAAATGAATGTTCCAAGTAAACTGTGACAAAGATCATAGCAAAAAAAAAAATTCTAAAAGGCACATAATGGGTCACATGATTAATGCTTACAAAGTTTGGGATTTAAATTTTCTTACAAGACAATGAGTAAACTTCTGCCACCACTGCCCCAACAAAGCCCCATCAGCCAAAAACCTTCAGAACCCAATCATCTCCATGCTCATAGCCAACTTCCACAGGCTCAGGACATGCCCCAACTCATGAGAATGAATCCACTGAAAAACCCAGGTATGTGGTGTTTGTGACTGAAATCTCCAGGCTTGCATGGAGTCAGGAATGGGCGACCTCTCCCCATATTCCTGTTCTTCCGAGAGCCTGGTAGTCATGCCCACGAACTGCCTCTGTTACTATATAAGTTCATTAACAGCCATGATCCAGAGACACACAAATAAATCTCGAAAGAGAAAAGCTGCAGATATGCCTCTCGACCCCAAAGTCATCCTCCAGTTAAAAATTTAACTCCAGCTCTATTATCCTATTTAAGATTTTAGAATTGCTGGAGCACATGGCCGTGAATTCCATGCAACATCTCATAACTCTATACCACTGATGTATCAAGAGTAGCACACCACATTTGATGGGGTATAAAGTAGAAACCGATCTTGATGAAAAAAAAAAAACACATATATAAGCACATGAGGCTCAACCTGTAACAACATGTTAGTAATCTCTTATACAAGGGCTTAATGGCTCCAAGGTGAAGATGTAACAATTTTCACATACTATCCTCTAAAGAGAACTTTTGGGATCATTTTTAGCAGATTATTTATAACAAGCAATATAAAATAAATTATTTAGGTTCTGCCTTTAGGGCAGGTTTGGGTGATGGTGGGAAAATTGGAAATAATGGTGATAGGAAGGTGTAACGGTGGTGGGACTGGAGTTGGAATACAGAATGTAATAAATTATTGTGAACAACTTTATAAAAATAAAATTACAAAAAGAAAGTCATCTCTGATTATATCTGATCATCACTTCTGTTCCAAGTTCCAAGTATCTGATTTACTTTGAACAGAATTATTTAGCATTCTTTTACTGGGCTCCCAAAATTTTTCTCATTCATTACCTCGAAAGATTTATTCTTGGGGGTTGGAGTGATAGTACAGTGGGTAGGGCGTTTGCCTTGCCCACGGCCACCCGGGTTCGGTTCCCAGCATCCCATATTATCCCCCGAGCACTGCCAGAACTAATTCCTGAGTGCAAAACCAGGAGTAACCCCAGAGCATTGCCGGGTGTGACCCAAAAAGCAAAAACAGAAAAACTTATTCTCATTGTTTGTATTCTTGTTCTTTGGTGAGAGCTTCTCAAATTGGTTCAGTTAGATTTGGTTTTGGGGCCACACTCAGCATTACTCAGGCCTTACTTCTGGCTCTGCATTCAAGATCACTCCTAGGAGAGCTCAGGATCACTCCTAGCAGGGCTCAGGGAACTACATATAGGGCCAGGGATTGTGCATGGCAAGCAAGCACCTTACTCATACTATCTCTCTGGCCCCAGTTTCTCAAGTCTATCCTTCACAGATACAACTTCCTTATCTATAATATTCAATTTGGTTTCAAATCTAGGCCTTCAAAATGAAATGTGAATCCTACTATTACATTTTATTTGACAGCCATCCTTCCTTCTGCTACCCATTCTCCTTATAAAGCTGTTATCCTTTCATCTGAGCTCACTGAATCCCTAGGGAGTCAATATTTTATCAGTGCCATCTCTTTGTACATGCGATTAAATATGCCAATTTTCATTTTTATTCTTTTTTCTTGGTTGTATTCATAGTCATATTTCAGTTCTTCCTCCAGTTCCTGTTTCTTTTCCTTCCTCTTACTCTGCAATATTTATCATTTATCATGGAGCTTCTATTTTCCCTGTTCTAATACTTCTTGTCCAATAAAAGCAAAATCAATGTATGCTCAGTACCTGCGAACTAGTAGGAGGGTATAGACTGCTTTTGATCCTGCAAGTAAAATCACATCCCAAAACAATGTGTAAGATCTAAGAATTTTCTGGTGTCTAAGAGGATTATTTTGTATAGTCCTGCTAAAGAAGAGGGGGACTGTCTTCTTTTATCTCCAGTGACTCAATCTACGAAACATTAAACATGTAGAATTTTCCAATTTCCTCTCTCTGGTCTCCTGCTACCTCCATAAAGCCTACTTTTCACTGCCATGAAAGCTCATTCTCGCCTTTCACTTTCTTTTTTTTTAAATAAGGCTTATCTGTGTTATAGGCAGTGCCATACAATTTACCAATTTTTCTGCAGTCATTTCTTATATCTTTTTTTTCCAATCCAGATCAAGTTATACAATGTCAGTGACATTTTATAATTCTTAGTAATAGCACAAACACATACCAAAAAAAAATTGTTGACTGATATGCAATATTAGAAAACTACAAAAGAATCCAAATGATGGGCTGGGGATATGACTCAGCAACATAGCTCAAACCTCAAATGCATGAAGCCATGTGCTGAATCTCTGGCACCAACAAATAACTCATAAAACAAAAACTGAAACAAGGAATTCAAATGCTTTTACTAAGGAAATATTTTGTGTAACAGGTACAATTTAGGTAACCACATCCCCACTAATCAGTCTTAAAATAACGCAATAGCAGTTTCTTTCCTGAGGCTGTTATCAGCCATCATTTTCAGTTTGAGCAGAAAAAAGCAGGCATTCCTTCTCTCTTCCATCTCCTTAATATACACACATACACAGTTCTGTTGTCTTAAAACACTTGATAATTAAAGGTAAAAAAGCATGTAGCAAAAACAAATTTTCTGTGACTGAGATGGTCTAAAAGTGCTATATGCAAACAGTATATTCCAAATCTTTTAATCACTTCACTTACATTTAATAATTGTTAACTCATGTTAATACAACTCCTATAAGTGGGTGCACTTACCCCACCCATTGTAATTCCATGAATAAATGCAACATATGGTTTCTTGCAAGAATCTAAAAAAGAATAAAGCTGTAATTAGTTTCAGTGTTTGAAGCATAGTATTTCACTTTTTCTGAAAATCATATTGCATGTAATAAAACTATGTTCTTAAAATTGTTGTATGAAATAAAGTAGATTACATGTCATTTTCCATTAATGTGTCATTTCTGAAATGTCAATCTATAAACAATCCCCTCCCGGTCATCTACTCATTATCACTTAACACTTAATATGTAATTTTCATATATATATTTTCAGATATAAAATAATGGAAGCTAATTGATGATAGAGCGATAGCACAGGGGGTAGGGCGTTTGCCTTGCACACAGCCAATATGTCCGACCTGAGTTTGATTCCTCCGCCCCTCTCGGAGAGCCCGGCAGGCTACCGAGAGTATCTCGCCTGCACGGCAAAGCCTGGCAAGCTCCCCGTGACATATTCGATATGCCAAACACAGTAACAACAAGTCTCACGATGGAGACATTACTGGGCCTGCTCGAGCAAATCGATGAACAATGGTAGGACAGTGAAAATTGATGCAGGATATAAAACCAAAATCAGCAAAATTATTTATTTATTAAAATGCTTTATTTTATATTTTGTAAAAATTAATTATTTTAATACCCACTTCTCACCATAGATAGATCAACTAGAGGAAAAAAATCAATAAGTAAAAAATTGACCTACAAGGAAGAAATGGGAGAGATGAGCCTAATAGATATTAAAACGCTCCACCCCCAAAATTCAAGTATATGTTCTTCTGCAATGCATATGGGACATTCTCCAGGACAAACAATGACCATATGGTGGGATACAAAACAAGTCTCTGAAAATCAAGAAGACAAAAATATCAAGTGTCTTCTTAGACTGTAACACTTTGAAAGAGGAAATTAATCCAAAACAGAAAGTAGGGTAAAACTCAAATACTTGGAACTAAACAGATTATTAATGAGCAACCAGTAGGTAAAGACACAATTAGAAGAAATCAAAAGATTCCTAGAAACAAATGAGAATGAAGATCAAGTTACTAAATCATATGGGTCACAAATTAAGAAGAAAGATCATAGCAACGCAAGCACGCATCAGAAAATAAAAAAAGGCCCAATTAAGTAACCTAACTATACATCTTAAATTACTAGAAAAAGATCAACAAAAGAAGCAAATGAAATACAAGAAAGAATAAAACCAAGTGGTGATCAATGAAATGGAAGCCAAAATAAGCAAACCAACAATGCCAAGAACTGTTTTTTCAAAAGAATAAACAAGATCAATTCATTCTAAACTAGACTTATAAAGAAAAAAAAATCTTATAAATTGGATCAGAAATAAAAAAGGAAGTTACACACCTGATAGAATAGAAATTCAAAAAGAATATCAAAAATGAAAATGAAATACTACAAAACTGAAGAACCTAGAAGAAATGGATAAATTTTTGTCCCTTTTTTTTTTTTTGTTTGTTTGTTTTGCCATACCTAGTGGTGCCTAGGAGCTACTGCATGGCAATGCTTGGGGGACAATGTGGTGCCAGGGATCAAACCAGGGTCTCTTACGTGCAAAGACTGGGCTCCAACTCACTGAGCAATTTCTTCAGCCCCAGGTTTTCCGAATTTTGTAACTTCTGAAGGCTGAGTCAAAAGGAAGCAGAATACCTAAAGAGACTAATTACTGATAGAGGAATCAAAACAGTCTTTCCCCTAAACAAAAGCCCAGGCCCAGGTGGGTTTACTAGTGAGTTCACCTATAACCCTAAAAGAAGACCTACTTCCTACCCTTCTCATGCTATTACAAAAGTAAAAAATAAAAAAAAAATAAATAAAAGAAAAGAAATCCTCCTGAAACTTTCCTATGAGATCTATATCTTTTTCTCTCCCCTATTTATTGTGGTACTATGATTTACAATACACTTAGTGATACTTTCATGCATTCATCTTTCCAATACCAGAATGCCTCCTACCTCTACTAATGTCATATTAACCTGACAGCAAAAGCAGCCAAAGACATAACTAAAAAGAAAATTATAGTCCAATACTCCTGATAAATACAGATGCAAAAGTCCTCAACAAATCTTAGGAAACCATATCCAAAAGAAGATAGCATGTTTATGCTAGGGATGCAAGGACAGTCTAATATATACAAGGCATTCATATCTACGCAAATACCAAAGAAATCATATGATAATATCAATAGATGCAGAGAAAGCATTTGACAAGAACCACTACCAATTTATGATAAATTCCATCAACAAACTGGAAATAAAGAGAATTTTCCTAAAAATAGTGAAGGCCACTTGTCATAAACCACAGCTACCATCATGAACTCAAAGGAGAAAAACTGAAATTTTTTCCCCAAAGATCAAGCACTAGACAAGATCAAGCACAGTCCACCTTTTGTGGATTGTGTAATATTTTATGCTTGAAAGCGCTCTCTCTCTCTCTCTCTCTCTCTCTCTCTCTCTCTCTCTGACACACACACACACAGACCCTAGAAACAACACACACGTGAAGGCTGTAAAATGAAAATACAGAATGCATGTATATAGAAATCCATGGCATTTCTTTATGCAAACAATAGAAATAGCACTGTAGCACTGTCCTCTCATTGTTCATCAATTTGCTTGAGCAGGCAACAATAACATCTCACAACAAATTGTGAGACTTGTTGTTACTGATTTTGGCATATCAAATATGTCACGCAGAGCTTGTCAGGCTGTGCTGTGCAGGCAAGATACTCTCGGTAGCTTGCTGGAGTCTCCAAGAGGGACGGAGGAATAGAACCCGGGTCGGCCATGTAGGCCGCTTGCAAGGCAAACGCCCTACCCACTGTGCTATCGCTCCAGCCAAAGAAAATTTTTTATTTACTACTGTGCTCTCAAAAATCAAGTTCCTGGCTGGAAGAAACCTGAGTGCCCAAGAACAGATGACTGGTTAAAGAAACTTTGGTACATCTACACAATGGAGTACTATGTAGCTCTTAGAAAAGATGAAGTCATGAAATTTACATACAAGTGGTACTACATGGAAAGTATCATGCTAAGCAAAATGAGTCAGAAAGAGAGGGATAGACATAGAAAGATTACATTCATCTGGGGGATATAAAGTAACAAAATATGAGATTAATACCCAAGAATAGCTGAGATCAACACCAGGAGGATTACTCCATAGCTTAGAGGCCAGCCAGGCATTCTAGGGGAAAGGGCAGCTCAGATAGAGAAGGGAGCACCAAATAAAGTGTGTTTGAAGGATCCTCCCAGGAGGGGAGATGCATGTTGAAAGTAGACTATGGACTGAACATGTTTGCCACTCAATGCCTCTTTTGCAGACCACAACACCCAAAAGGAGAGAGAGAACAAAAGGGAATGCCCTGCCACAGAGGCAGGGTGGGATGGGGGGATTGAGGGGGGAGGGATATTATCCATGGTGGTGGAAAATGGGCACTGGTGGAGGGATGGGTATTTGATCATTGTATAACCGAAACGCAAGCACAAAAAATTGTAAATCTACAACTGTACTACATGGTGTTTCACTAATTAAAAAAAAAATCAAGTTCCTGGAAACCAACTTAATTAGGAGGTTAAAGACTTATGTGGGGAAAACTAAAAATCCCTATTGAAAGAAACAGAAGACACAAGAAAATAGAAACACATCCCCTGCTTATGGATTGAAAGGAAGAGCAGCAGTCCCCATAAAAATTTTCAAGGCATTTTTTATTTCGATTTTATTTTTGTTTGGGAGACACACCTGGCTATACCCCTGGCTCTGCACCCAGGAATCACCCCTGGAAGACTCAGGGGACTATACTGGGTGTCAGGGATCAAATCCAGGTCAGCCACATTCAAGACAAGCATCCTACTTGCTATACTAATTGCTCTGGCACTCCAAGGCACTTTTTAACGTCATAAACTGAATACCACTAAAATTCATATGGAGTAATAAAACCAGCTTACTAGTCAAAACCATCCTGGGGAAAAATGAAAATGAGAGAGGTTTTTCTCTTCCCAACTTTAAATCATACTAAAAAGCTGTAGTTATAACCAACACTGTGTGGTAGTGAAATAAAGGCAGACTCAGATAATAGAACAGAATCAAGTGGGTGCCTTGCATCTGTCTGTAAGGCTCTGGATATAATCCATGGCACCACAGAAAAACAACAACAACAAAATATCAAAAAAGCCCAGCACTAAATAGAAGTATGTTTCTGCCCCACTACCAATGGAACATGGAATGTCAATTTTCCTTCCAGAGTTCCTTTAGGATTAGGAAATAATATTTCATAGGACTTCGGTTCTTCCTTTTCCAAGAAAGTACATATAATTAGAATACATTCTTTTTGATTTTATAACATATTGGTTTTATAACAAATATACTGTTAGTACAGCCTACTGATATTGAAGAATAAATTATTCTTGATGTATGGTCAGAATAATTCAATCAACTTTATGTCTGGAACATGGTATATAAAGGAGTAAATAAGTGCCTACTGATTACATTTTTAACAATTCATACTGTGCAGTTTCTTTGACTCAGTTTTCAAAGCACTCAGTAGAGCATACATACCAATTGCATTGTTCAGTATATACTCTTCTCTGAAAAAGTCTTTAGCTAATTGCTGTTTTGCCTTTCCGGCTTCTGAGACAGCTACAAAAAAGAAAACAATAATAAAAATTTTAATGTCTTTTTTAGTCAATACAGCAATAAAAAGTTCTTAAAAACCATATCAAATACTGAAGGGAAATTCTAGAGTGGCTTTTTTTAGGTTTTAAAGTTGCTTTTGGCACAATGGGAGAACAGATCTGCACAACTGGGTTTGGAAATAGGGGGGGTTGAAAGGGACCCTGGAGCCCTTGGGAACAAGAAATGTGCACGCTAGTAACAGGTGTGGTGTTGGAATTCTGTGCACGGGAAACCATCATTAACAGGACTGTACATCACAGAACCTCAATCGATAAAGAATAAAATAACATTCTCTTTGGCACAAATATTTTAGTTACCCTCAGATCCACAGCATAAAGCAAAATTATAATGCTAAAGTTCCTAATAATTTCTCATAAATATCTCTGCCTAAATTAAACATTAGAGAGCCCAAAACGCAGTGCAGTGGCTTAGGGTGCCCGCTGGCACGAATACAGTAGTTCAAATCCCCAGAGCCTCCCACACAATAAGCACAATCAAGTCAGTCTGCTGTGTGAACCTGACAGCTCTTTCTGTCTGCAAACAATCCCACAGTGTGTCAACCAGGTATGTGCAAGCATCACTGAGGGGTATGACTCCTGGGGAGCATCCCAACTCAATAAAAGATGTGCGAGTGCCCTGGAAGTGCCACCTCTGGTGAGTATGTAGTGACCACTGCAGCAACCACCAGGCAAAACAACCATAGCTGCGGGTTCCCGGCAAGCATGATTGCAAAACCAGCTAAAGGAGTGCAGACCTGAGTAAGCAGGACAGCTGCCTGCACACGCAGCATGGTCTGAAACACAACCCCTGGCAAGCACATGTGTGAGCCCATGGAACCCCCAGTCATCATCACATCAGCAGCAACAAAGAAAAAAGGGGAAGGAGAGGGGAATAAAAATGAATTAAAAATTAGACATTGCCACAAAATTGCTTTCCATCTGACTCCTTTCTCTGAGTTAAACATTCAGTAGTGATACAGTATAGCTTAACACAAGATTTTAACACAACACATTCTAGATACTCATAAATCTATTGCTTGTGAGCTGTGCACACAAGACCACAGCTTGTTCTACTGAGTTAAATATTTCTGCTATATTCTTTTAATACCAAATGCACTTAATGAGTATCCACAAGGTACCAAGCACACACAAGATGAGGTGCTTCACAGAGTAAGACAGCAACAGAAGAGAGTCAGCTGAATGAGAGAGACAGCGGCAACTACCACACCCTCCCTTGGGCCAGACACCAGGGAGGATAGGCGCTGTGCAAATGGGACCCGGATCGAAGCAATTAGAAAACAGTTCCTATAGAGGCAAGCCTGAGCCCAGTTTAAATGACAGCTAAGCATTTCCTAGAAAATAACAGGGGGAAAGTTTCCTGTCTCAGAGCAAAGAATCACATGCAGAAATGAGGAAAAACAAGTCCCCTTCCCTTCCTTCCCTCCCCCATTCTCCCCTTCTCCTTCTCTCCTTCCTTCCTTCTCTCCTTCCTTCCTTCCTTCCTTCCTTCCTTCCTTCCTTCCTTCCTTCCTTCCTTCTTTCCTTCCTTCCTTCCCTCCCTCCCTCCCTCCCTCCCTCCCTTCCTCCCTCTATAAATAAACTCTACCTCTGGGCCATGCCTCCTGTCCCAAATTTAAGACTTAAACAACTCAAAAAAATGGTAAAAGGTGGGGCCAGAGAAGAAAAATAAGGTTGCTGTATCTTTTAATAGTGATAGAAATGTAATTTCTTAAAGAGTGGGTGACTGTTTGGTTTAACAGACAATTGCAAAGCAAAATATAAATAATGAATACTAGTCGATTACTTTATTTCTGTTACCATTCCCTGGGAACGAAAGTTCAGCGATATCAACGGTTCCTCAAACATTAAGGTAATTAACAAATCTTTCTCATCCAGTGCTATTTCATATGCCTTTTCTGTCTTTAAGTCCTATGAGAAAATAGGCTAAATTAAATGTATTTGCTGTGTGTTTCTCCTTTTGTAAGAGTTACTTGTAAAAATGATCATAGATATTAGATTCACTCAAGAACTGTGATTTATCTTCCTTCAGAAGACAGTCTTCTTCTCCTGCTCCTGTCTGTATCATGGTAGTAGGACTCACACCCCAATCTCATACAAATCAGGCATGCAATTTACCTGAGTCATATCCCAGCATCTTTCTACTCTTTTCAAGAACAGCCTATAATATAGCTTATCATTCTGAAGCCCTCTAGCACAGGCACCTCCAACTCGCATCTGCTGTCCTTTACTGAGGCCTCACCAGTGCTTACCTAGTCTGAAAAAAAAGAAGAATATTGCCTGGTGCAGTGAAGTTCTCTAACTTAAAAATCTTCAGGGTTTTTTTTTTCTTTCTGATCTTATTCTAATCCAGTTCCATGTAAATTAAAGTAATTAATGGTCATGTACTGTTTTGTTTTTGCTTTGGGGGCCACACCTCAACGACTCAAGGGTGGCCCCCAAAGGGCTGTGGGGACCATGCAGTGCAGAGAATGGAAGTTGGGTCTCCCCAAAGCATGTGCTCCAGTCCACTGAGCCATCTCCTGGGACCTCTGAATCATATCTTTTTTTTTTTGAGGAGGTGGGGGGAGTGAGAGTTAGGGCTGTGGAGCATGGTGACTGACACTGGTGCAGATAAGACCTAACTTTGCAAAGCAGCCCAGAAGCAAAGCCTCACAAGAGGAAGTATCTGGGCAAAGTTGGCAAAAACAGGTGTCAGCCAGCACTGGGTATTCGACCTTGAGCCTCACTTGACCGGAGGTCAATAGTCACATGAGCCCTAGACACAGAAACTGTCACATGTGTTTAGCAGGTCATCCTAACTGCAGCACCTAGCCTTGATTGCAATTGGACTGGGGCAAAACAGAGTTGGAGAGGTGATAAGCTAATAATGCTAAACTTTCTGTGATTGGACCATCCTCTTAAGCTGTGACTCCCTATAAAATGTCTGTATTTTGCAATAAAGTGAACAGCCATCAGCTGCTCCCAGAGGGATGATGTCTGTCATCCTTCACCCCACGTCTGCTTTGACCCGGTGCACAACATGTCCAGGCACCAATGTGGGGGAAATTTTTCCTCAACATCGGGCTACAACTACCAGTACTCGGACTGCTCCCCACTCAGGGTAGAATGCAGTGCCAGGGTTCAAACCTGGGACTCCTGAACATAAAGCAAGCATTCCAGAACTTTTAGCCACTAATCATACACACACACACACACACATGTGTGTGTGTGTGCATTCCCTTGATATCTTTCACTTATTGATTTGTCTGTATTTTATTTCCTTATTATTATTTTGATTCAAGAGCCACATCTGGTAGTAGTCAGGGCTTACTCCTCGTTTTGTGCTCAGGAATCACTCCTGGCTGGCTTGGGGACCATAAGGGATGCCAGGTATCATACCTGGGTCAGCCATATTGTGCAAGGCATATGCCTTGCTCACAATACTATCGCTCTGGCCCCCAACCTGTAGTTTTTAAAGAATCTATGAATTTCCCATAATTTAACTGCAATGCTCTATACATGTATACTAGAATAATTCTACAATGCATTGCTGAGTTACAAACATGAATATAATGTTAAACCTACATGAAGAAAATAGCTCACAGTCAAAGAAGACAAAAATCAATACATAAGCTTTTACCATCTGTATGCTGACAAGATTAGACCAACTCCAGGGAGAAATTCAATTACAGATCGAAAAATAATGCCTTATAACTATTCACATTGTGGGCAAAACAATTTAAAAATCATTCCACCAACAAGTGAGCCAAGCTAATAAAGCTTTAAATCTACTTTAATATGAATTTTATTTTCTCCTGCCCTTTCTTTGTGGGCACTATGATGTCCAGTGTCTCATACTGGTTTGCATTACTCATACACACTTGGCTGCAGTGTGCCGAAGGCTGTACTTGCTGTGCCAGGGATCAAATGGGTACAATGTAGGTGGTGCAAGGGACAAAGTCTGTGGTCTCATGAATGCAAAGAAGGTGCTCTTATCACTGAGCCATATCCTAAGAGCTATTTAATTTTTGAGGAATGGCACTAGAGACCAAACCTAGGGCCTCATGCATGCAAGGCATGAGCTATACTACTGAGCAACATTCTGGATCCCTGCTAGGTATTGATTGCATGTTTGGGGGCCATACCTGGAAGTGCTCAAGGGCTACACCTGGCTCTTTATTTAGGGATTGCTCCCGGTGGTATTAGGGGGACCAGGTGTTTCCAGGTTATTCAACCCACATGCAAACCATGTTCCACTGGCTTCACCTGCAGCCGAGCATGCTCTCCATCATCTCTCTGACCCTAAGTATTTATGTGATACCCTGAATCAAGCTTGTTTCTTCCTAATCCAAATGCAATTTATAAGATCTTGTGATTTTGAATGCAAACACTATTTATTGTATAACACAATACAAAAAATTGTCAACTATTTAAAACTTAAAATTTCTACGAATATAAGGCAAACAGCGTCCATAAACCATACCAATGCTGGTAGGGATATGGAGCAATGGTAGGAAGGAAGGAACAAACGAACAAACTTTTGGATTTAAAAACAAAATACCAAAACAGATTTGAATATATATAAAATACGGAGAATAATCATTGTATAACTGAAACCCAAGTACAAAAATTCGTAAGTCTATAACTATACCTCATGGTGTTTCACTAATAAAAAAATAAATAAATAAAAATAAATTTTAAAAAATGAAAAAAAATTAAATTTAATTTAAAAAACAAAATAAAATACTGAGAATACATGACTTTGATACTCAACTTTTGTCTTTAAAGTTAAATGTGTTCACATTGGCCAATGAAATTAGAAAAGGGTAATTAACTTTATTACTCATCTCAAAATATTTTATTTTTTGTTTCATTCGGTTTTTGTCTTTTTGGGGTCACACCCCATGATTCTTAGAGCTTACTCCTGGCCCTGCACTCAGGGATTCTAGTGGGATCGGGAGACCATATGTATTTCCAAAGATTGAAACTAAATTGGCAGCAAAGCTAGAGCCCTATCTGCTGAACTATCTCTCCTGCTCTCAGCATGCTTTTTCAAACATATGGAACATTATGTTGACAATATTGGATAAACTCTCTAATTAAGTACATGCTCACACTGGAATTACAAAGCGTGAGACAACATGGTAATCATTCTGGAAACACATGAGCACATGTCACACTTAAAGAATAGCAAGGCACTCACCACAGCCAGACTTTCAAGTCATATGACAACCAAACTGCTTGGTATCAGCTGTTCTAACACAAAAGTAGACTCTCATGGTCTAACTAAACATTCTGCTTCTGGTGACACCGGGACAAGAACAAGATATTTCAATTCAGAAGTACACACATGTAACTTGTTCTTTTTTTTAAATAAACTGTTATTTCCTCTTTTTAATATTAACTGCAAAAGATCCCTAATTTTCCCTTTTTTCCTAATTTAACAACATAAGAATGCATAACTTCATAGCAAAAAAATTCTAAAAAGTAGCACTGCACTGCACTGTCCTCCCGTTGCTTATCGATTTGCTCAAGTGGGCCCAGTAACGTCTCCATTGTGAGACTCGTTGTTACTGTGTTTGGCATATCGAATACATCATGGGTAGCTAGCTCGGCTTTGCCATGCAGGCGAGATACTCTCGGTAGCTTGCCGGGCTCTCCGAGAGGGGCAGAGGAATTGAACCTGGGTCCGCCAGACTGGTCACGTGCAAGGCAAATGCCTTACCGCCGTGCTATCGCACCAGCCCTCTGGTTTCTCTTCAGATTGTATAGATCTTTCTAAAAAGTAAATTTAAAAAATAGCAAAGTAAATCAAAGAATTATAATACTTGCTAATATTTTATCTGTTTTAGTATAATAAAAAGTTCTTTGACGTGAAGGGAAAATTTATTTTTACCTCTAATATCACCTCCAGCACAGAAAGCTTTTTCTCCGGTTCCCTTTATAATGATCAGGAACGTTTCAGGATCTTGTTCCCATTTCTATCCAAACGTGAAAGAATATGTCATGAACATATCACAAAAGCAAACTCATTGGAGACATAAACATATGCACATATAAACATATTGTTAGAATATATATGAAAATATATGTGGATACACATAAGGTATAAGCTTTATAAACCATAACCAGAAGAATGGACCATAACTCTATTTTCCTTTCTGACATAAATTGAGGTTATTCCAAAATATTGCTAGAGGAGAACTCTGCAATTCAGATTTCATAGAGGCATCTGGAATAATAGCCGTGATGAATTTGAGACCACAGTTCTTTTTTAAAAATGGGCTAAATGACTTATTCATGAAACATAAAATAACATAGTATGAGGAAAGATAACATAGTATGAGGAAATGCTAATAAATCAAAGCTAAGTGTCAAACACAAGTGAGTCTGGCTTTAAGTCATGCCTTTCCACAGTAACATGCAGTTCACTCAGGAAAAGACTAAGGGCTTCGTTAAGGAAAATACTGATCCAGGGGTTGAGGTGAAGGTGCATGCCTTGGATGCAGACATTCCCAGGTTCAATTCCTGGCACCGCGTGGTTCCCCCATGCATCACAAAGTACCACCTGAGAAGTGGCTCCTGAGCTCCTATGGGTGTAGTCTGGAACCCCCAATTACTGACAGGCTAACTCAGGGAATCTCACACATATCACCATAAGGCCCTGGTAGAACTGCACCCACCTATCCCTCACTGTAGTGCAAGTCAGTGGCCAAGAATTCTAGGAGGGGGCCCTGGGATGTCCTGTGCACCATTTTGCCTACACACCATCCCCCCACTTTCTATCCACCTCCCACAAATGTTAGAAAAACAAACCAAAATAGTTTCAAACCAAAATAGCACTGTGTGGAAGTAGATTAGATCATGCAGGCTCATGCATACCCCAGAAGGCAGAATCAGAATCATTTGTTAAAAGGTTAAATAAATAAGTGGGGAGCACAATCAGGAACTTAGAGCTATGTGAAAGTAGAAGTGTTATCTATTGATGTGATGAAATTCTTGCTTATAAATGGATGGTCATGGAGAGGCTTATGCCGAGTGAAAAGAGTCAATAGGAAAGGAACAGTCATAGAATGACTGCACTCATGTGTGGGATTTAAAAAGCAGAGTGTGAGTCTATTACCCAAGGACAGTAGAATCAAGAGTCAGGAGGACTAGTCCATGGTTGGAAGCTTGCCCAAGTTGGGGGCGGGGCAGAGGGCAGGAGAAGAGCAGTTAGAATAGAGAAGGGACCACTATGACAATGATAGATGGAAATGATGACTATGGATAAGAATTGAATACTGAAAGTTGGTAAAGGGATATGCATGATGACCTTTCAATACCTGAATACCCAAAGGAATGAGAGAGAGAGAGAGAGAGAGAGAGAGAGAGAGAGAGAGAGAAGAAAAGTGGGTTTTGATTCTCTCTCTTAGGGGGCTAGGGGTAGAAGAAGTGAAACTGAAACTGGTGGGAAATATACACAGAAGGGATAGATGTTGGAAAATTGTATGGGGAAAACCCAATCATGAACAACTTTGTAACTATGTAGATCACAGTAATTAAATTAAAGAAATAGAGAAATTCCTCTGGCTAAGAGGATACCAGAAGAACACCCTAGAGAAAGGAAAAAAAAAATGGAGGTTCCAAATTCATGAGAACTGGGCACTGATCCTGGAGAATCCCATGATTCTATGGGTGAGTAGGAGAAGTGTCCTATTAAATATTTTGAGGGCTGTGGCTCATGACCTGCAAATTGAGGCCCTAGTCAGATATCCCCCACTCTCCCCAGTCCCCACCCAAGACCATGAGATGGGGCCATGTAGCCCTCGAAATAATTGTAATTGCTCTAAAGCTAGTACAAACCTTTAGCTGTGGATAAATCTGCCGGATCATATTAAGATTAAGAGCATTCAGGAATTTTGGTCTGTTCAGTGTGATCACTCCAGCACAGCCTCTTTTTTCCAGTAGCACTTCTGCTGCTGCATCTGTGTGCTTGGTCATTCTCTGCTTAAAAAAAAAAAAAAAGGAATTTTAGAGTAAAATTAACAGGATTTTTATAACAGGTTACATCAAACAAAGATCTCATACAGTGTTAAGACTATGGATAAGAGGCTGGAGTGATAGTCCAGCGAGTAGGGCATTTGCCTTGCACGTGGCCAACCCGGGTTTGATTCCCAGCATCTCATATGGTCCCCTGAGCACCTCCAGGAATAATTCCTGAGTGCAGAGCCAGGAGTAACCCCTGTGTATTGCCAGGTCTGACAGAGAAAGCAAAAAAAAAAAAAAAAAAAGTGAAACTCACATGTCAGAGTTTCTTCTAGGAACTTTTTCTTCTAGACTCTGTAATAGTGTTTCAACAGTATGTCTATTTCCTTACTTTAAAGACATCACAGGATAGCTGTCTTTGTGATATCTATCAATTGGCTAAAAATAAAAAAAAACCATGCTTGTAATATAATTATGGAGGGCCACATATACCATAGCAATCTCACATCTCACAGATCATGAGTACTGATTTATACACTTATAAGGTACAAACTACATAGAAATTTCCCCCAAAATCTATATTTGTAGCTAACGGAACCACACATTTCTTTTTCTTTTGGGGAGCCAGAGAGATAACTCAAATCCTCCTAGTTTCTCGAGTACTATGATAAAGTGACCCCCCCAAGCACTCAGGTAGGAGTAGCCCCTCAGCATATCATGGAAACCGACCCCCCCTCGACTCCCAAAAAAGAAGGAAAAAATGCTTTCTTTAATCCTCACACACCATAAGGACAATGTATAACATGAAATTCAAAGTCAGGTTAACTTAGAAAAATTTATCTGGTACGTGACAACCAAAACTAAGCAGGACACCCATTAGCTAAAATCTAGTGACATCTGAAAGTTCATATTTTAACTTCATGATGCTTCAGTTCTCCTTTACAAAAACATTTTCATATTGGAGTTACAGCAATAGCACAGCAGTAGGGTGTTTGCCTTGCATGTGGCCAGCCCAGCCGAGGTGGATTTGATTCCTCAGCCCCTCTTGGAGAGCCCAGCAAGCTACTGAGTATCTCGCCCGCACAGCAAAGCCTGGCAAGCTACCTGTGACATATTCGATATGCCAAACACAGTAACAGCAAGTCTCACAATGGAGACGTTACTGGGCCCGCTGGAGCAAATCGATACGCAACGGGAGGACAGTGCTATATGTTAAATTAAACAACACAATAGATAGTATCTTATCTTCAAACTAATACTAAAAACTGTAATAAAGTATTTTTAGCCAATTGATAGTTATCACAAAGACAGCTATCCTGTGATGTCTTTAAAGTAAGGAAACAGACATACTGTTGAAACACACTATTATAGAGTCTAAAAGAAAAACTCCAACACTTGTTTAAAATCATTCACACTGGAGAGTAATTCCTGTCCTAGAAAACTACAGAATGATTATTTTTACATATGGCTAAGATGAAATACATGTAAGTACAGATACTACAGTTGCCTCTTTAATGGAAAATGACTGAAAATAAAAAATATTATCAAAAGAAAATTAGTTTTGCATATTATAGTCAGACAAAAATGCATCCTATGAAGCCTTTCAAAAGAATGGGGCAAGCTGGGGCTGGAGCAAGTATAGTGGGTCTAGGGCTCTTGCCTTGCATGCAGGACCTGGATTCAATCCCCAGCATCCCATATGGCCCCAGAGCCCACCAGGCATGATCCTTGAATGCAGAGCCAGGACTAAGCTCTGAACACAGACACAGCTCTGAACCACCTCCATCCACCCCCCAAAAAATAAGAGAATAAATTAAGTTACTTCTCCATATACTGTAAGAATAATCTCAAGGGCAAATAGTGTTTCACTTACTCACTTACATACAAACTTGCATTTACAAACTATCTCTAGCTGCATTCACAGGATAATGTGAAATGATTCTTCTAGAAAAGAAACCTGGGTGTCTCAGAGACAGAAATGGAAAACTTTTCATTATTATTATTATTATTATTATTATTATTATTAGTGAAACACCATGAGGTACAGTTGTAGACTAACAAGTTGTTGTGCTTGGGTCACAGTTATACAATGATTGAGTACCTGTCCCTTCACCAGTGCCCATTCCCCACCTCCAATGCTCCTGGAATATCTCTCCCCCTGCCAACCCCCCATCCAACACCACCCCTGTGGCAGGGCATTCCCTTTTGTTCTCTCTCTCCTTTCGGGTGCTGTGGTTTGCAAAAGAGGCACTGAGTGGCAATCATGTTTGGTCTATAGTCTACTTTCAGCATGCACCTCTCATCCTGGAAGGATACTCCCAACACCCTTTATTTGGTGCTCCCTTCTCTATCTGAGCTGCCTTCTCCCCCCGCATGTGCGGCTGACCTCCAAGCCATGGAGTGAACCTCCTGGTACTTATCTTGGCTATTCTTGAGTGTTAGTCTCCCAATTTGTTACTTTATATTCCCCAGATGAATGCAATCTTTCTATGTCTGTCCGTCTCTTTCTGACTCATTTCACTTAGCATGATACTTTCCATGTAGTACCACTTGTATGTAAATTTGGAGAACGTTTTTAAGGCCACGCTTGGCTTGGCTGTGTTCAGAACTTATGCCGGACCCTGACCTCAGGGATCACTCCTGGCTAGTGCTCAGGAGACCATATGGGATGCTGGATATCAAAATTAAATTGGCCGGTGCAAGCCACGTGCCCTACCTGCTGTACTATATATCACTCTGGCCTAGGATGTAAAAATTTTTACTGAATGGTTCCTCTAATTTTGTGCAATATGTATTCACAACCCACTCAAACTATGCTTTCAGATACTATGGGGGGGTGGGGCAAGGCAAATTTGGATTACCCCAGCTGTGTTCACAGTTTACTCCTGGTTCAGTGCTCAAGGATCACTCCTGGTGATGCCAGGGAACCCTAAATAGAGCTGGTGTTCAAACCAGCTGTAAATGGAAAGTAAAAACTTACAAGAGTTGGTTAAGTGTCCTTACATTGAAAAAAATACTCTACAAACATAGTCTTATGCAATAAACAGAAATTAAGTATAATATTTAGAGTATAATCTGTGTTTTTTATATATTCACAGTCAGAGAAAAAAATGAATGGCTGTATGTACATCAAATTAAAAACCAAGGTTTTAGGTCTCCTCCTGGGTTCAATTACTGGTACCACAGATGGTCTTCCGAGTCCTCAGGAGTGATCCCTGAGCACACAGCCAGGAGTAATGCTTGAGCACCACCAGGTGTGGTCCAAAAATATATAACATCTTCCCAAAATAATCTCTTTAAAATATCTTTAGTCTCTAAGATCAAATCGGTGATTACCAGTGGGGAAAAGGCCAGAGAACAGCCTTCTATGTCAGAACAGAAGCTATATTTAGACTCAGCATCCTCACAGCCACGAAGTCCATTTCATGCTTAGTACCTCAAAAGAAAAGGCTGAGTTCTACATCCTGGAGCAACATAACTGAGAGAAATCAAGGGGGAGGATGCACCAGAAGGAGAATCGACACAAGACAGTGGACTAATCCGGCACTTGCCCTTTACTGACTATTCTTTTGATTTTATTACTAAAAATTGCACCACGAAAGTTTGGTGGGCTTTTGCGTTGCTTTGCTGGCGCGGATGTGGCGAGAAACGGACACTCCTTCACTGTTGGTGGGAATGTCGACTGATTCAGCCCTTCTGGAAAACTGTATGGACGATTCTCAAAAAATTTGAAATTGAGCTCCCATTTGACCCAGCAATACCACTCCTGGGAATATATCCCAGAGAGGCAAAAATGTATAGTCGAAGTGACATCTGCACTTGTTTGTTCATTGCAGCACTCTTTACAATAGCCAGAAACTGGAAGAAACCTGAATGCCCAAGAACAGAGGACTGGTTAAAGAAACTTTGGTACATCTACACAATGGAGTACTATGTAGCTGTTAGAAAAGATGAAGTCATGAAATTTACATACAAGTGGTACAACATGGAAAGTATCATGCTAAGCGAAATGAGTCAGAAAGAGAGGGATAGACATAGAAAGATTGCATTCATCTGGGGGATATAAAGTAACAAAGGTAAGGTAAAGGCCCTCCCAATGATCGTCGATTTGCTCGAGCGGGCCCAGTAACGTCTCCATTGGAGACTTTGTTGTTACTGTGTCTGGCATATCGAATACTCTCGGTAGCTTGCCGGGCTCTCCGAGAGGGGCGGTGGAATCGAACTCGGGTCGGCCATGTTGGCCGCTTGTAAAGCGAACGCCCTACCCGCTGTGCTATCGCTCCAGCCCCAAGAATAGCTGAGATCAGCACCAGGAAGATTACTCCATAGCTTAGAGGCCAGCCGGGCATTCTAGGGGAAAGGGCAGCTCAGATAGAGAAGGGAGCACCAAATAAAGTGTGTTTGGAGGATCCTCCCAGGAGGGGAGATGCATGTTGAAAGTAGACTATGGACTGAACATGTTTGCCACTCAATGCCTCTTTTGCAGACCACAGCACCCAGGGGGAGAGAAAGAACAGAAGGGAATTCCCTGCCACAGAGGCAGGGGGGAAGGGGGGGTTGGGGGGGTGGGGATGGCAAAGATATTATCCATGGTGGTGGAAAATGGGCACTGATGGAGGGATGGGTATTTGATCATTGTATAATCAAAACCCAAGCACAAAAAAATTGTAAATATACAACTGTACCTCATGGTGTTTCACCAATAAAAAGAAAAAAAAATTGCACCACGGTAGAAATTTAATATGCTAATGAGGAACGGGCCTCAGAAAGAAGCTTGATCTACTGTACCTACCTATCCTATATCTTCCCAGCACTACATGCTCACGTCACTCCTTTCCCATCTCAACTCCTATAAAAAACGGTCCTGGTGTTGTACTGAAGTCAGTTAAGATACACTGCCCACATAACAAGACACACGGGAACTCACGGGATGGGGTTAAGCCGGCGCTTTCCTTCACCTGCCCCAAGGAGACCCCGAGTCGCTGCTCACAAACGGCCTCTCTGGCATCTGATCAAGCTGCTTAATGGCCATGATCCCAGAGACTCAGAAACAAATCTCGGAAACCCAGCGGCTTTTGGCAGAAATCCCTCCAGATTTAATTATTAAAATTTCAGAATTCCAAAATCTTGCAGCCGCATGACTTCATATGCTATTCATAATCAGCAACAGAAAATAAATTGTCTAATGTTGCCTTTTCGGCAGATCTGAGTGTTGGGGTAAAATCCCAAATAATAATGGTGGGTATGGTGCCGAAATATTGAATGTAATCAAAGTAGAGAGAGAGTAATGTGGAAATCATCTGCCACACAGGTAGGAGGAGAGTGTGGGATGGAGGGGTATACTGGGGGTTTTGGTGGTGGAAAATGTGCACTGGTATAGGGATGGATGTTTCATCATTGTATGATGGAGACTGAAACCCGAAAGCTTTGTAACTGCTCTCACAGTGATTCAATAAATAAATTTATTAAAAAAAAAAAAGACACATTCTCTCTTGCAGTCTCCCAGATGCTCAGGATAAAACTACATTAAGTGCAGCCTGAATCTTTCCTTGATTTCAGTTTATATCAAGGAAAGCCATGGGGTCATATCATAAACAAAAGGGTCTGATTCTGTAATGAGTATGGGAATTTTTAGTTATGAATTTAGTGGAGTATTCATAGGTGTTGATTTTTAATGACGCACACCTGGAATATATATTATGAAGCAATTTGCCTTTTTAAATTAAAAAAATAAATATGTAAAAAGTCATAGGAAACAAGCCATGGGGGCATCACTTTAAAAAAAAGAAAAATCTTACAAGAACTAAAAACTTAAGACAGGTTGCAGTGCCGCCAGCAGGTCAACCTGTCATCATGCACTGAATGCATCTGCAGACTAATGGTGCCTTCAGGCTTCCTGATACCCCAAAATTGCTGCTGTGCCTCTGGCCAGACCCCAACAACTCATGGCCAAGTTGCCTGAGAAATTAAACGGCCAAAAGTTAGATATGTGGGAGCCACGCCCACACACCACCTTCAGCTCAGCTATACAAGCTCATTTATCAGCCTTGTTTCAGAGACTCATAAATAAATCTCAAAAAAGATCAAAAGCCGCAGTTAATCTCAAACACTCACATGGCTGAATAAACCAGGGTAAATAGGAGTGTGGGGGGAGACAGGGGAGATGAGACAGCCTGGTGCCCGCCCAAAGCAGAGTCCCTGGCAGCTGCTTGCTCCCACAATCCAAAATCACCCCCTTGCCCCTGCCAGATTTCATCATCTCAGGACAGACCTCACTGAGATATTAACCTGTTGAAAATTTGGATATTCGGGTTATGTGACTAAAATCTCCAGGCTTTCTCGGGGTTGGGATGGGCCACCTCCCTCCACTTCCCTTGTACTTCTGGAAGTCTCGGCAGTCACATGCACACCCCAAAGCTGCCACCCAGTTTAAAGAGCGACTCCATTCTTACCTTCTTGATAAAAATACTTAACACCCGCCCGCCCGCTCCTCTCTGGAAAGAAAGATGGCGGCCTCACGGGAGCCTTGTGGACAGCAGGTTTGAGCCGCAGCTGAGAGCGGCATGGACCTCATGGGAAGGGGGGCGTAATGGGCCGTCCTTCACGCCCGACCGAGGTCGCCAGCTGCCCCCCACGAGCGGCTCTCTGGCACGACCACGACTCCAGAGCACAGAAACCAATCTCTTAACTATCTATCTTTTAATAGAAATTCTTCCAGGGTTAATAAGTAAAATAGCAGAAATCCAAAACCGCGCGGCCGCAATAGCAGCTGCGCGACATCATTTTATTCTTAAACCAAGTTGTAGAAAGCAAATCATTTCACAACGCTGTTTCAGCATGTCTGATGGGTGGGGGGAGGGTCCTAAACTCTAAACAATAATTGTGCATCTTCTATCGAAACAATGTATCTAGTCAAAGTAGATAGAGTATTAACTAGAACTCATCTGCCTCACAGGAATTGGGAGGGGTGGGAGGTGGGGTTCTATTGGGGTTCACGGTTAAAAATAAGTATTGCTAAAGGGAAATGTGTTTGATATTTACATGACTGAGACCTAAACCCGAAAGCTCTGTAACTTTTCCCACAGTGATTCAATAAAGAAATAAATTAAAAAAAAAAAAACTTAACACCCTGAACAAACACGATGACCTCTTAGTACCTGTATTGCAAACCATAATGCACAAAACAAGAAAAGAGCCTGCCATAGAGGCAGACTGGGAGGAGAGGCAAGGTGGGGGTGATGGTGGGAGTGAAAAGGGGGACATTGGTGGTGGAAAATGTATGCTGGATGGCCGTTGGATCACTGTATGACTGAAACCCAATTATGAACATTTTTATAATGGTCTATCTCATGGACATTCAGTTAAAAATTTTTAAAAAACCCAACTTAAAACAAACAATAACATGTTGTCAAAGATGCAGTGTGAAAGGGACACTGTAGTGGGAATGAGAAATGACAGTTATGCTGGTAGACAATTTGGCAGACTCATAAAGTTATATTTAGACTTACCATACAAACCTACAATCTTACCCCTCGCTCAGCATTTACCCAAGTGAATGAAAAACTTCTATTCACACAAACATAGGTCAATGTGTAACAGCTTCCCCCCACCTCACCCCCAATCTCTAAAACCTGAAAGGAACCAAGGTGCTCTTCGACAAGAAAATGCATCAATACTGTTGTGGATATACAAACACGGGAATCCTACTCAGTGTAGATTCACCCAATAACACAGATACATTTTACCCAAGTGAAAAATCTTTTTTTTAATTTTTTAAAAAAATTTTTAATTTTTATTAGTGAAACACTATGAGGTACAGTTGTAGACTTACAATTTTTGTGCTTGGGTTTCAGTTATACAATGATCAAGTACCCATCCCTCCACCAGTGCCCATTTTCCACCACCATGGATAATATCCTTCCCATCCCCATTCCCCCCATCCCACGCTGCCTCTGTGGCAGGGCATTCCCTTTTGTTCTTTCTCTCCTTTTGGGTGTTGTGGTTTGCAAAAGAGGCATTGCGTGGCAATCATGTTTGGTCGATGGTATAGTGGTCAGCATAGCTGCCTTCCAAGTGAAAAATCTTGAGCCAAAAGGCTATTATAGAACCCCCTTCAATGTGACCTTCTATAAAAAATCAAAATTCCAGGAGGCATAAAGGGTGGAGGTGAGAAAAGTGGTTGATTACAAAAAGAGAAGTACACTAAGTCTCAGGTCGTGGGACTGCTCTGTTTGTACAGTGGGTGCATGATTTACACATCTAGCAAAACCACTGAAATATAAAGAGCAAACTTTATGTATGCAAACTTGGGGGCATAAGGTGTCCCAGGCCCTGGGGGAAGAAGAGCACCTGGGCCATAGCTGGCAATATTGGTTACTTGGGCAACCAAGCTAGACTAACGGGTTCAATCAAGACGTGCTACACCGGTCCTGCAGTGCCAGGGACCATGAGGGCCAGCCCCTCATTACTGGCAGCAGCCAGGTCCTGAGAGCCTCCAGGGCTACAAGTGATGATGTTGCAGATGCTATGGGTGAGGGTATGAGAGAGGAGCTATAATATAGCAGGATCAAACCAGGGTCCCATGCTTAGGGTGTGTACCCCTAGCACCTGTTCAGTCCTGCCCCCTAAAAAGCATATGTTGTTTTAAAAGATCTGCCAGGATATCAGGGGATTCCGACACGGAATTGTAGCTCTAACTTGGGACTCTAACTGAATTACTATCTTCTATGTTCTTCCTCTGTAGACAGAAGGGGCAAGGGAGTACTCCCAAATCCCTTTTAGAAGGATCTGATCTTGTTCATGAGATTTCCCACTTCCTAATTGCCCACTCCAAAAAAACCCCACTCCAAGCACCATTACACTGATAATTAGATTTCAGACAATGAATTGGGGGGGGGGGGGGGTTGACACGTCCAGCCATTCATTTCTGGCAATGTGATCAATGAACAATATCCAAGCTTTGCAAGGATATGACAGTAGCTGGCATGAATAAAATGATTATCATATTATAATACCAGATTTTTAAAGTTTTTTTTAACTTTTAAAACATTGTGGGACGGGGCACTCTCAACAATGCCCAGGGATTACTCAGGAATCACTCCTGATGGGGCTTGGGATACCATATGGGATGCCAAGGATCTCACCCAATTAGGCCTCATGCAAGGCAAGTGCCCTTCCCACTGTACTATCCTTCTAGCCCTAAAAGATATATATATGTATACATAAAATTTTTTAAAGATATATTTTTAAGTACCTCATTCTCACAAGCACTTAAGGTAGATACTATTTCCCCATTTTATATTTGTCTAAAAGGAAGTTAAGAGAGAGCAAGAATAAGTAGCAGACCCATTATTTAAGCCCAGGCATTGACTTAAAAGTCCCTTGTTCATATTCATAACCTTATGACACCTGCAGAGTATATGAATTAAGTCTTAAAACTATAAAATCAGGAACCATGGCATGCCAAGGCCCACAAAATTTACCACTATTTCTCTATTTCGCTAACAATGACACAATTAGTTACACTTCATAATCTAAATGACAGTAAAGTCAAACTTACCAAATGTTGCAGTATGATATCAGTCCTTCTGGCAGAATTAAACCTGAAACAAATGAGAATACCATGAACAAAGTAATGTTAGTCATGTCTCAATGTTTAAATATATTTTCCCTTTTTCTTTAGCCTCTTCTAAAAGGCTTCAGATCAAAACGTTAATGACAGGGCCGGGAGATGATGGAAAGGGCTGGAGCGCATGCTTTGCATGCAAAAGCCCTGCATCTGATCCCTGGCACTGGGTGGTCCCTCAAGTACCACCTGGAGTAACCATGGAGCACCCAACTAGGAGTAGCCTCTGAGCACTGCCATATATTGCTCCCAACCAACAGCATCAACAAAAAGTTATCAACAACAGCAGACATTTCTGTTCTGTTTTGCTTTGAATTTTGAGTTTCACAGCCATATTTGGCTGTACTCAGGGCTTACTCCTAGTTCTGTAATCAGAGATCACTCTTAGCATTGCTCAAGAGACCACAAGTGGTATCAGGCATTGAACCCAGTCCATCTGCATGCAAGGCAAGCACCTTCCATACCTGCTGTATGTCTCCCAGCCTCCAAAAAAAGTGTTTAAGTCTCGCTCGTTTCCAGAGTAAATGAAAAAAATGATACAACTACTCTGAAGGTCAATTTGGCAGCTTTTTGTTTTTTTGATCAAATTAAACACATTCTTACTGTATGATCAAGCAATTGTGCTCCGTGATACTTATCCAAATGAGCTGAAAATTCATGTGCACACACAAACACACAAAACTTGACACATGTGTACTAAAGTTTTATTCATTACAGCCAAAATGTGGAAGTAACCAAAATGCCCTTTGTCAATGAATAAACAAACTGCAACACATTCATACCATGGAGTATTACTCAACAACAGTAAAAAAAAATGATATAGTATTCTATAAGAAGACACAGTAGAACCTTAAATGTATTCTTTCAAAGCAAAAAGAGAAAAAAGTCAGTATGAAAAGACCACAAACTATGAGGCCAACTCTAACAAGACTTCTGAAAAAAAGACAAAAGAATTGAAATAGAAATATCCATAAATAATCTCAGTGGTCCCAGGGGTGGTGATTTTGACCCACACTAGGGGACGTTCAAAAATAATCTTATTCTAGCCCAGTGGTTCCACAACTTGTCTGCTCATTAGAATAACCTGTGACCTGTTGGAAATATCCCAAAGACCAGGTCACAGCCAAGAACAATTCAAATGTGGAGGTAAACCATGGTCATAGGTGTCTTGTCTGAAATTCCCCAAATGATCTCAAAGTACAAACACTTTGCATATCTGTACTTGTAGCTCTCAAGATCCTGTTTCCCAACAATAAACTGAAGTGACAGGTTCTTGCCTATTCAGGGGGCATTTTTATATATAAGATTTTCATAATGACTTAGCATGTGAGTAACAGCTTCTCAGAGGCATCACTTGTAAACTTTTTCCCAACCAAAAACTTTTTTTTCTTTTTAGAAGTGTTAGGATAAAAAAAAAAAGGAAAAAAAAGAAGTGGAGCTTGAGAGAGTGGATTAAGGGCACACCTGCATGCAGCTGACCCAGTTAGATCCTCAGATTCACACAGCTCCCCAAGCATGTAGGTGCATCCCTGATGGACCCCAAGTACCCCCATGTGGCCAAGTACTCCCTGACACCCCAGGGCCAGAGAAGAACTGCATTGTCAGGCCCTCAATTGTCAAGAACTATCATGAGGGGACCCCAAGGCTCCTGAGCACCACTCAGAGAAACCTCCCACCCCCCAGTCCCAGTAAAAAACAGCAACAACAATCTGTTTAAAAATTACTTTCTTTTCCAGAATAACTAAGAATTATTAATGAGGCAAGTATTCAAATGCCAGTTCAAGGTTAAAGGTAAGGAAGCCAGACTGGCAAGTCTTACACAAATAAGGGCAGTCTGGGGCATAAAAAGTAACAGAGGCGAACTCAGGCTTAGCTTCAAGTCCCAGTTAATTTGGAAGATCATTCTATTCCACTAAACAGAAAACTACCAAAAATAAGAGGGATGGGCTGAGAATAGCACTGTGGGGTCACAGAAACCTCAGAACTTGAGGTCCTGGGGCAAGCTCAGTGACAGAGTCTGCTCCCTGGTACCACCACATGCATTCAGCTCTGGCCTGGTGGTCTGCAAGATCCCCAGGTCACATGGAATTCCTGGCCACACACAGCCAGGTGCATATGAGCACTCAGACTGAAGGGGTGTGACCCTGGCTGAGAAATGCAACTACAAAGACATGTGAGACCTGACGAGTACATGCATGAGCACCACAGGGAACTTGGGACAAAATATCTGAGCTAAAGAAGCATAACCCCAGCAAGCACATGTGTGAGCAAATCAATCTGATGTGTACCCCTGGAAAGCACTACAGCCACATTGGGGGGGAGGGGTGCTCCAGCTCCGAGGTGAAACTACATTTCTAGTTAGATCTTGTAGTCCTATTTCTTCTATTTGTTCATAAAAGCTCCATTCTCGGTGACTTTTAACAGAAATGAACATTCTTTCTTGAAAATGGAGTTTGACAAATAGAATGATTAAGAAATTCAGAACTGAGGGGCTTCTCCTTCTTTCCCATCAGTCCCCACACTGCCCTCTGGTGGAAGAGATGAGTATGGTTACGTGCTGGCTAGTGCTCCCTGGCTCCAGAGGAGGCAGAGTTCCATGGGCAACTGCTCCCCAAATGTGGCATCCAGACCAGCATCATCATTAGCCCTGGGAACTTATTGCCTGGTTCAGAAATGCACATTCAGATAGACTGAATTAGAAATTAGCATGAGACTCAGAAACCTGTTTTTAACAGAACCTCTGCTGGGTAACTGTGATACAGGCTTAAGCTAAAAAGAATTGACTAAGAAGGATGAGAGTATTATTGTTAAGATTTTGGAAAGTATACAACAGCACATGGGGTCACAAAATTAACTTTTCATGAAACTGTGAAAGATGATGTATAATGCAGGCCCAAGATTGTGTGGCACAAGTGGAAGAGAACATGCCTGAAGTATATAAAATGCAATCTGATCCCTGGTATGGTATAGCCCCACCCCACAACATCACACATAGTAACAGCCCGGAGCACCAAGCACTACCTGGAGTGACTGCTATAAAGGACCTTGAGCATCACCAGGTTAAACAGTCATAGCAAAAAGAAAAGAGAAAAGAAAATATACATAATGAAAATAATACTGTCACACACACATACTGTCCTCCTGTTATTCATCGACTTGCTCGAGCAGGCCCAATAATGTCTCCATTTTGAGACTTGTTGTTACTGTGTTTAGCATATCGAATACATCACATGGAGCTGGGCAAGGTAGGCTTACTCTTCAAGCCCAAATTCTCTCTTGAACATGTATTTACTTTCACTTCCCTAGCATCTTTCTAAGCAAGTTTCATTCAATAAAAGTTATCTTGCTTCACACACACAGAAAAAGACATGGGCAAGGTAAGAAAGTGGACAGGGCAGAAACTCAAGGCCAAAACCCAGTTATTAATTGTTGAACTTATTAAACCAACTGTGAAAACAGAAAGGAATGATTCTGAGGAGTTATGATGACTAGATCCAGAACACAACAGGCTGATTACATGCCTTGCATGCAGGAGACCTGGGTCCAACCCACCCAACACAAGGATCTCTAAGCACTGCTAGGGAGCAACAGCCAAGTATAGAACCAGGAATGACACATGAACACCACAGGTCCAACAACAACAACCACCACAAAAACCAAAAAAGTTGTTATAAAGTTAAAAAAATATATGGTAAAGGAAAATAATTCTATCCATAATTACTCCAAAACTGGATAGTTAGGATACAGGTACTGAAAGTTTGGGAAGGAAATTCACTGGCTTGTGGAATGAAATAGGAATTCCCTTAAACTCTAATTTCTACAAACAGAAGTAGAAATAGTCTACAGCCAAGTGGAGAAAAGAGACAGCTTGAGAGCAAAGTTAGGGCTGAAGATAGTCAGGAAGTCACATGCACAATCACTTAGGTATAAGAACCTCTTAGCACTGAAGTATAGATGAGAATCTAGACTTTAAAATGAGCAGCCTCAAGTTTGCCTAGGTCTACAAGTGTTTTGTCTGTTTTTGTTGAACAAAATCAACAAACACATCTAAAAATTGGGGGATGGCCCAGGGAACTGGCTCAGTGATTTAGATTTAGAACATCTGCACATGTGAAGTCATGATTTCAGACCCCAGCACTGCCACACAGGCAAGCTCTAGAGGTGGGATATCTGTTTGAGCCCATCAGCTCCGGGGTCCGTGATCCCCAAACCACAAATGACTTGCACCTACACCACAGTCTAGTGGGGTACAACCCACAGCAAGTGAGCCCCATTAAAAGATCTGCAAGCACATCATTCCTGTGCACGTGTGAGAGCACCTTGGCAACCCTCACAAGCAATCCTAGGTGAGCACCAAGGCTGAGCAGTGAGCCCTGCACCTTGATGTTTTATTCCCATCAGCGCACTGTAGCACTGTAGCACTGTCCTCCCGTTGTTCATCGATTTACTCGAGCGGGCATCAGTAACGTCTCCATTGTGAGATTTCTTGTTGCTGTGTTTGGCATATTGAATATGTCACGGGTAGCTTGCCAGGCTTTGCCATGTGGGAGAGATACTCTCGGTAGCTTGCCAGGCTCTCCGAGAGGGGCAGAGGAATCGAACCGGGGTCAGCTGGGCCGGCCATGTGCAAGGCAAACACCCTACCGCTGTGCTATCGCTCCCATCGCACAGCTACAACAAAACAACAAAGGGATGAAAAACCCAGATATTTTATCTGAAAGTGAAGTTTTCCACTTCTCAAAATAAGGGTTGTTACAGGAGCCTTCGTCCTGTACTCTAACATGGTAACAAAGCAAGGCTTGGGCTAAGAGCTGCCCCTTGATTCAGAGCAGTAGTTCTAACTCACTTGCCCACTGCTGGCATCCGGACGTGGGATTTGACCTCTCCACTCCGTGGACTGCAGCTGAAAATCTTAGCTCTAGTCAAACCCTCTATTCCTACTCCCATTTAGCCTCTTCACCCCGGTTTTGTACTCCTACCCTGGAAGAGTAACAATGAAGAATCAAATACTGAGCCTTTCAAAACTTCAAGTGGCCCTGGATTAAGCAAGAATCAATGTGTCTCAGCACAGTATAAGAGCAGATGGAGAAAGCTAAAGTAACTAAATGTAACTTTGTTTAAATATTTGTTTCAAGTTGGCTCTGCTTTATTGCTACTTCAAAGGCCTCAGGAAACAATAAAAAGATAAAGTGAGCCAAGCTGACCACAGGCTAATTTAATTAAACTTTGAAACAGACCCCCACCCCCATATACACCCCAGAAGCAAGAACTTAATTATATATTATAAACTTTGTTTGGGGGGAAGTCTGTGCTTAGGATTTACTCCTGGCTCTGGGCTCAGACACTGGCCCAGGGATCACTCAGAGATCACTTGTAGCAATGCTCAGGGGGCCATAATGGTTGCCAGGGATCCAACTCAGGTAGGCTATGTGCAAGACAGAGATGCCCTACTCGCTGTACTATAGCTTCAGCCCCAAGTACTACAAGTTTAAGTCAAACACAAGAACAGACATTCTCAGGGACTTCCAGCAGTAGGAAGGCCCCCCTGAGAAGTTCTGAGCAGAGAAAGAGCAGGCACTGAAGTCAACTCCGGCAAGATTAATCTGGAGGTCATGTGCTGAAGAACATATTGAACAGAGGAACAGTAAGTGCACCAACTTTCCGTAAAGTGGACAAACAATGAATCAGAACTTTTCAAATTCAAGCCAACAGGAATAAAGTTAAAAATGGCAGAACTGAAAATAACGTCAGAAATCTGTGTAAAGGACAGTGGCCAAGAAGCTGAAAGTGCCGGTGAGGACTAAAGGTAGCTTTCCTATTACACTTATAAATTTATATACAGATGTTTCCAGCAAGTGTTTATGTAAAATGCAAATGAGACAGCTAAGTGGTTGTGATGAAGACTGAAGTGCAACATAAATCAAGGTCAGACAAACACGTGACGAGTTATCTTCAGCACAGGGCATTTGATTGGGAGGAAATGCGCAAAAGCTGAATTGGCACTAGCACTAAGTAACTGGGAGTGGTTGTAGGAGAGCAAGAACAATGCCACAAGGCCAGGGAAGCCAAGGAAGGCTGGAGTTCAAGGGTTTCCCAACAGCGCCACAGCTCCGCAGCCCCATTTCTTCTCAGAACCACTCTGTGCAACCCCCAGTGCCTTAATTCACTTGTGGGGTGTGCCTTGATATACCGAATAATCTCAACTCCACTCTGCTAAGGCAGGATCCACTCCAGCACTGACACTGGAGGAGCCCCAAACTCATACAAGTCAGCCCCAAGTCAGCCTGTGGTTTGAAGAGTGAATGAGACTAAATAAAGTTCATCTGAATTCTGGGAATGAGATACTTTCCCCATCTGTCCACCCACTTTGTTTTGCATAGAGCTGGATTATTTACTGACAATTTCCCCAAAAAAGCAGGTCGTGGGAACCTGGTCAATAACAGTCTGGCTTAGCATGGGGATTCACCTGCCACACATAAAGAAATACCTCTGAGCACCTCCCATTGTAATCACCAAACCAAAGAAATTAAAAGTACTAATTTTTTCTTTTTTTTTTTTTACTGTTTCTGCTTCTCCAAGACAACTAAAGATTAAAAAAGAAAAATATGAAAGAAGAAAACTACCCTTCAATTCCCATTAAGTAATCGCTGAGAGCCATGATACACTGTTCAACAATTAAGACACTTCCCACTAAAGCACTTAGATTGTTAAACAAAGCAGCACTTCCATCCCTTCGCTTCAGAGCAAACTCAAAGAGGTGAAAGAAGGCAGCAATTTTAACTTTGGGGTAAGAGGAGACCAGATAGAGTAGGATGCTTCTCCCTTCATATGATCCCAGTTGCTTCCTGGTACTGTATGGAGGTAACACTGACGCATCCTAACTTATTTTTTAAAAAATAAAATAAACGAGGACTATCAAAGTTCCTGAGCTAAACTCAAAATGCAATCACTAGCACTTTCAAAAACCAAGCACATCGTTGACACACAGACTCCACCGTGTCATGGTGTCCCGCCAGACCTTAAGTTGGAGTCTTTTGCAAAAAATAAAAAAATAACGAAAAAAGTCGCTCACGAGCACAGCTGCAAGCATCAGCTATGCGCGAGCGTTTGTTGGCTGCACAAAAGATGCCTGATATTCCTCTAACTTAAAACCCGACGTGTGCCCCAAACTACAGTCAACTCTGAAGAAGGAAAAGGGACGGAGAAGGAAAGAAAAGAAAGTTTTGCAGGGGGGAAAAGTTAAGCAGCCGGAGCCGCTGGAAATCCAGAAGGAGCGGCGAGTAAGAAGGACACTGGGGAGGGCCGGGGGGCTCCACTGGAAGGGCGACGCCTCTGAGGACCACTCGAAACTTGGAGGCGAGGATACCCCGACCTTTTTTCCACCTTGGCGAGCTCAGCTGACGAGCCCGCCCTCCGGTGCTCGCTCACTCACTCACCTCGACATGAGCCTGCACACCGCCTGCAACCCCATCGCCAAAACACTCGCGAGGCGACATTGGCCGGGCGGCGAATCCCATTGGTTTCTTACGCCTCACGTCAGACCCGCCCACCGCCGTTCTACGCCACAGGTCATAGATGATAAGTCCTCCACAAGGCCAGAGCGGTCTTGAGGGTTTGTTGTTGTTTTTCCCGCTACGCAGCACTAGGGGGCGGGGCCAGAATAAGCGCTAGAAAAGGATTGGAGGAGGGAGAGGAATGGAAAATAGGGCGTGGCCTAGGGACAGCTAGGTCGGGTGGGGCGGGGCTAGGTGGGGTGGGGCGGGGTCAGAATAAGCGCTAGAAAAGGATTGGCGAAGGGAGAGGAATGGGGAAATACGGCAAATAGGGCGTGGCCTAAGGACAGGCGGGGCGGGGCGGGGCGGGGCGGGACGGGGCGGGACGAAGTGTAGGACGTGCTGTCTCTGGACTCAGGGGCCAGCAGGGAGCAGGCGCGGGCTCATGGCAAGTAAAAAGTTGGTGCTCCAAAGGCTCTCCTGCGAATAGCTCTAATAGTCCAGGCTTGACCTATTAAAGTTTCTAGCCAAGACTGACTGAAAGACCTTGCTGCAGTGTTCACATTTTTAGATTAAAACTGTAATCTTGAGTTTGAAACACACGATAACAGTATAACTTTGTCATTTATTCCTGAACCAACAGAACAGAATTTTTTTTCAAAACAGTATTAACATTTCCAGCTATAAAAAAAAATTGTCTCTGCCAATTCAACTAACTACTATTATCAATAAAAGCGAGATTACATTCAAAAAGTAGTTTACTTAAATGAAACAGATTTAACTTGCTCTCTAAGAATCACTGTTGAGTTGATTCAGAAGAGTGTTCCACCACATTCAGAGTTCGGGAGCAAATATTTTATCATTTGTATGGACCCTTTCATCAAGAAAAAAAAGTTTATGTAAAAACTTGAAAGAGAAGTTAGATTTTATTTTCTCTCCTTGACATTTTAGACAATGAGGTCAAAACTTTGACCAAAATCCACTTTTTTAACTTAATCACCGAACACCCAATGAGCAGACAAGCAGTGAGCATTGCAAAAGTTCCACCTGCTATTACATTGCTTAACTCTTTAGAGGACTTGGCTGTGGAAGCACCATCATCTGATCACCTTAGGTTTCACTCTGCACTCACAAAACACAAAAGAGGCCCCTGACCCAGCATGGTTAACTGTAAAGGAAGTAGAATTTCCTGTTAGAAAACCCTAGGTTCAGAGCTCATGTTTCCCCCTAACTTCTGGGGTGCAGCTGGTGACACACAAGTCCAAACCTGAAAGAGCCCTGCATTACTCTTGACGAATCTTAAATATGTATGTATGTATGTATTTATTTATTTATTTGGGGGTTGGGTGACATCTGGCTGTGCTCAAGGCTTACATCTCACTCTGTACTTAGGAATCACTTCTGGTGGGGCTGAGGAAACCATATGGGTTGTTGGGGATCAAGCCCTGGTGGACTTCATTCAAGGCAAATGCCATACAGGCTGTCCTATCTTTCTTCTCTTTTGATACATTTTAAAGGTCTCCTTGGATGTGGTTTGCACCAAAATGGTTTGCAGGTGGGGAGTCTCCGTTCAGTCCCTGGCACCCCCCTTCTTACACACACACACACACACACACACACACACACACACGTCATTTGTAATACCCTGAGCCACAATTCAAGTGTGTGATCCTAGAGAGCGCCAAATTCCATTATGAGGCTGAGGTTATCACACAAGGCAACAAGGTAACAGAAAGAGAAGGACATATAAAGAAATATAAAGATACATATATTTATAGTTTAACTTTTTGGATTATTTTCTCCCACCCCTTCCTTCAAATAACACTTCTAATCAGAATCCTAGTACATCACCTTGTTAGAATTGTTTCCTAAATGCTAGTTTTCTCTTGTTCCTTGAGGCTAAAAACAGAATCTATTTTCCTTCTGAATAAGTAGCATTGGTTTACAAAAATAAATATTTATATACATTAGGAGTACAATGTTGCCACACCACATCCATGACTAAAATGCCAATATCCCTCCACCATAGACTGAACCCTTTCAGCCCCTTTCCCCCAATACCACCACCTGCAATTTCGAACATCAATGCTGTGGTCAGTTCAAGGTTGTTTGTTTTTATGGGGTGTGCATGGGGGAGGGTCTCCCAAGCAGTGTGCAGGAGGTCTAGGGGCTCTTCCAGTGATTCTCCACAACCTGGCTACCCCTGCAGTACTGGGAGTCTCCAGGACTGATCCTGGCTGTGCAGAAGGGGTGAGGACTGTGATTCCTCGGTTCAAAATGAAGTCAAGCACATAAAACCTTGTACTCTCTCTGGCCCCCAAAGTCTAAGGGTTATTATTATTATTTTTTGCTTGGGTGTGGTATGTTCTCTCACTTCGATTTTTATACACCACACGAGTGTGATAATGCAGTATTTGTCTTTCTGCTTCTGACATATTTTGCTTAGCAAGACACACACAAACACACATACCAGTTCCCTCCATGTTATAACTAAAGGCAAGATTCCCTCTTTTCTAGTAACTGAGTAGTATCCTAATGTAAACTTATACCACATCTTTATCTCCACACCTGTCACTGAGTGACTGAGTTGCTATTATAAGTTGTGCTTCAATAAGCATAAGTTTTCATATTATCTTTTCAAAATTGAGATTTTGTGTTCTTGGGATAGACACTAAGGGATAGAATTGCTCGATCATCTGGTAGTTCTATTTTTATTTTTTGGGAGATCTCCATATGTAGAAATAGAAATTAACATGTTGCTGGAATCTTTCATAAAACATAAAGCTAAGAACATAACAAATAACATAAAATTTGATATACTAATTAACTAATTAGGAAAGATATTTTGCATACAAATAACAATTGTGTGTCTTAATCAGCATAAACCTGGCATTAGACTGAAAAAAGTCAGGTTGTAAAATGTGTCATAATACAGATGCTCCCAGAATTAAGTATCCAAAACAAGCAAAAGATATCTAGTAGCCAATATCAAGGGAAACGACTCCCTCTTATTTTCCCTGTTGGAAATCAATAACTAGGCATCAATAAAGGGCTCTGGAGGGTCTACATAAAAGTCACCTCTACCTTGAAGGTCCTCAGCCCAACAAGCCTTCCCCATACTCTACCGCCCTCAAAGATTTCTGCCAAAGCCAGAAGTAGCTTATTCATCCCAGCATCCACTTCTGGAAGAACTTCTGATCCGGTCTCTTCTATGTTCCAACAGGCCTGCACTGTGCCACCTGCCTGGCTGCACCAATTTTCCCTGACCTGGGAGTTGGGTAGAAGTCTCCCCCAAACAATAACCTATAAATTAGAGGAGGCTTTTCAGAAATAAGGGTTTTAGGTATAGAAAACTTCACAGACGACACCAAACATGCGTGTCCAGAATTCCAGTCATGGTACTGGATAGGGAGGGAGGGCAGGAACAGATGACAAAAGGCTGACCTGCCTAATTTAGGGTAATTACACAGAAATAGGATAGGTAAAAGGTAAAGGTAAAGGCCCTCCCGTTGATCGTCGATTTGCTCGAGCGGGCCCAGTAACGTCTCCATTGGAGACTTTGTTGTTACTGTGTCTGGCATATCGAATACTCTCGGTAGCTTGCCGGGCTCTCCGAGAGGGGCGGAGGAATCGAACTTGGGTCGGCCATGTTGGCCGCTTGTAAGGCGAACGCCCTACCCACTGTGCTATCGCTCCAGCCCAGGATAGGATCAGATTTTAATTTAATCAGGATAATTTAGAAGCATGGTCCATGGATCAGATCAGAAAAGAGTAAATCCAAACTTACCACACCACTTCTAGGGCCTTTTCTGAACCTTCATATTAATTTGCCTTGCAAGAGATTTTGATTTGCCTTGAAGCTAGAGCGATAGCACAGCAGGTAGGGTGTTTGCCTTGCACACGGCCAACCCTGGTTTGATTCCTCTGCCCCTTCCGAGAGCCTGGCAAGCTATTGAGAGTATCTCGCCTGCGCGGCAAAGCCTGGCAAGCTACCCATGACGTATTTGATATGCCAAACACTGTAACAAGTGTCACAATGGAGACATTACTGGGGCCACTCAAGTAAATGGATGAACAATGGGAGGACAGTGACAGTGACAGTGACAGTGACAGTGACAGTGGCTTGCCTGGCTACAACTCTACTCGATAAAATTTCACAACTTAGTGTTTAAATAATCAGGCATTTATTTCAGTTTTCTGGCAAAGTTGCTTCTTTCTTTCAGAACTCAGGAGAACAATCTGATTAACTTAGTTTTTGTTGAGTCATGAAAGGACCACCTTTGATCAAGAGGCCATGGGGTTAAGGAATCTGAAAGATGGCTCAAAGGGCTGAAGACAAGTTTTGCACGAAGGAATACCTGGCTTTGTCTCTGGCACCACTGCCAGGAGTGACCCCAGAACAGTAAGTCAGAAGTATTCCGAGATCATCACCAGGTAAGGTCCCAAGACCCCAAAGTAAAAGAGGCCTTGGGATTTAATTTCAGTGATGCTGAGAATGTACACATATTCACAAGATTATGTGAATTTGGACTGGCAATGAAGACATACTTCTGAGATCATTAACCAGTATCCAAGCCCAGATAACTGCTTCTGATAGTAGCTGATTAAAATAGCGTTAATAGGGGCTGTAGCAATAGCACAGTGAGTAGGACGTTTGCCTTGCATGCGGCTGACTCGGGTTCAATTTCCAACATCCCATATGGTACACCAAGCACAACCAGGAGTAATTCCTGGGAGCATGAGCCAGAAGTAACCCCTGTGCATTGCCAAGTATGACCCAAAAAGAAAAAAAATAGGATTAATAAAAAGGAAAAATTTCAAAACAAAGATGTTTTCTGTTAGAAAAAAATATGTGCATTAGCATACACAGAAACAATCTAGAGAATAATATTCAATCAACAACATAAGTCACAACTAGGTGGTGGTGGAAATATGGATGACTCATTAATTTCCACAATTATTCAATAGTCTCTCTTAAGAACATTTGCATAACAAAAATAAAAGTGAATTATTTATAGAAGTAAAAATAAA